AAAGCCACTGCACGTGACATATTATGGTTGACATGATTTGCCAATAAGCTTATGAATTATTAATGAGTGTTTGAATCTCTATTTAAAATACTCACTAATAATTCATAAACCTTGTGGCAAATCATGTCAGCCATAATATGTCACGTGGAGTGACTTTATATCTGATAAAGCACGTGGCATTATATAAGGCATGTAGTAAAACATGGACTGGACTCATTAGTAAAACATGGACTGGACTCGATTAGTAAAACATGGACCCGATTAGTAAAACATGGACCCAATTAGTAAAACATGGACTCAATTAGTATAACACGGACCCAATTAGTAAAACACGGACCCGATTAGTAAAACACGGACCCGATTAGTAAAACATGGACTCGATTAGTAAAACATGGACTCGATTAGTAAAACATGGTCATGGACTCGATTATTAAATCATGGACTCGATTAGTAAAACATTCCTAAATGTAGTTCCTTGTCTGTTTTTTTTTGTAAATTGTAATTTTAATAACATAAACTTTAGTGTATAAGAGATCTCATCGATATTCAACGTAAAGTTTCATGAATATAAAATATATATATATATGATAAAACACTCCTACTCGTGTTTTAAATAGTACATAATATTCAAGTTATAACTTGAACATAATTCCTGATCATGGAGTCTCAGCGATGGCCAAAACGAGATATATCATGACAGTCTTTAATTTAACGGGCTCTAACAGTCGCGATCGAGAGAGCATGTTTAGAATTTACACACAGTTGGCAAGATGACAGGATCTCGTTATTTTATAGCAATTCCACATCATTCTTTATACGTAAGGTATAAAATCCGTTGGGTTTACGTATCGGACAGGATACACTTTATCACTAACAACAGTCACAACCAACCACATCGTTTGCTCGATCGATCTAGAAGATTTTTACATTACGGATTGTGTTTTTATAGCGAAGCGTGCTTTCCTTGCCAAAAGCCTTGTGTCCACTGAAATCTCATCCAACTTCTCGCTTGACTAATGTAACCCAACACTCAATAACACAAAGGACGAAACTTTGGAATATCACTAATTTTGAGAAGCTCTTTCAAGCTGTGATGAAATTTTTGTCTAGACTTGTTGAGTTCAAAATTTTGGTTAATTGGGAATGGTCCATTTACCACGCGAAATCCGATCCGCGTGACCAGCCCCAGCCAGGGTCTTTCCTCAACGAGAGGGAAGAGCCTGGGAACGAGGTTGGGTTAGGCATAGTTCAGGGGGCAGATCATTAATGATGTATGACTACACTAATAGCGGCTGCTTAAAGGGTCATTTGTAAGGTCACAGTCTACCTCGGTCTGCTCTAATGTAACCAGTCACAGAAAAACGCTAAGGGAGTGTGCTGAGTAATATATGTATGTATATGTATACTCCTGTTTTATACGTCGAATTTTGGTTGCGACGAATATTATACGATGTTTGTGTGATGTTACTCTGAGTGTGTATCCACACCGGGCAAGCTTGAAAAATATGCCTGACCACGGTGGAAATCGAACCTACGCCCTTTGGAATACTAGCCCAATGCTCTTCCAACTGAGCTACGCGGTCAGGACGGTTCGAGTATGCGATATTTCGGAACTGAGTCTAGTTCCTTCGATATCAGTGTAATCTAATAATCATGAAATCTGCTGTGTTGGTGTAATGTACTCAGGTGAAATAGATGTTTGTGTGATGTTACTCTGAGTGTGTATCTCAGTTGGAAGAGCATTAGCTCAGTTGCATTGAACCGTCCTGACCGCGTAGCTCAGAGCATTGGGCTAGTATTCCAAAGGTCGTAGGTTCGAATCCCGCCGTGGCCAGGCATATTTTTCAAGCCTGCCCGGTGTGGATACACACTCAGAGTAACGTCACACAAACATCTTATTCACCTGAGTACATTACACCAACACAGCAGATTTCATGAATATTATACGCTTGCACAGCGCAGCAATAATATTAAACCCACAAGAAAATATATATCTCTAGACCGAACAATGTAATTTATTGATACTCCGTGTGGAAACTCGATGAGAATCATCACTAAGTATTTTGAACTTAATAATTCGCAATTTTAACAATTTTTAACTGTTAAACATAATATCAACTCTGTGATAATATCCCACTGAAAGCATGTTGATGTAATTTGATACTTTCTCCACACCACCTCCGGCGCTAAATTTTGGACGAGGCACGTGACCAGGGTCTCTCCCAAAGGACAGACCCTGGGAACGAGGTTGCGGCTGATAACGCTTACTGTACCTCGACCTTGATAATTCCGCATATCACAAAAACTTCATCCAATAATTGTTAATTATATTGTGCATACAAAGAAGTAACTGCTGAAGCCTGAATATACAAACAAAATCCCAACCCTGTTTGAGACGTCCGCAATTTCATACCCCAATACATGATTGAAAGCTAATATATACAGTATATACAAAGTCAGTGTGGAAACTCGATGGGAATCATGACTATATTAGCTATTTTGGGTATAGGTTATGCAGGATGTGGATGTATCTCGTCACGTGCGTATTGACTATTGTATTTCTGTCCAAACAACCAATAGCAATGTCTAAATTAGGCAATTGTTCACGTTAAGGCTGGATAACTACGCCAAAACATTGCCATTTTAGTTGTTTGGGCGAAAATACAATAAATACGCTTGAGGAGATATAGGTCCACACTCTTAGTCTTGCACATGAAAGCCCAGACATACATAGATGAGTTATACTGTTATATTCTTCAACGATTTCCCAAACCATACTATATATATTTATCAACTGTTGTTCATGCACTTCTGAATGTCTTAACCTGCTATGTTAATGACCTTGTACAATGACATACTGTATATAACCATGCAGCATGACGGATCGACCAATACCATTATCATGGCCAGAAATGAAGGACAACATGGCTGACAAGCATGCGCGTTAAGCTTACACCAAATAAATTCAAAATGGCGGCGTTGTATAGATTTGATAAGAGAAAATTCAATATACGCAGTTTGTGTTCGATCCCGTAATGAAATTTCACGGTCCCACGTCTAAACATTTATCAAATAAGGCCAGTATTAACTCCCGAAAATCTAGCGACAATCCGAGTAGCGTAAATATGTTCCCGAGAGATTTATATTTCTACTTCTCGCTTTGTATATAAACGCCTAATAAATCGACATAATTTGCCGAAGTGAGGTTTTCCAATGCGTAAATTTGGCCACATATGGTCGACTTTTCGCACGGTCCCACGTCTACGTATATTCGAGGTGCACAATACTTTCCTTTTAGCAGCATTTAAAGGCTCAACGGCTTGCTTAAACCTGTTCCCGAACGCCTTGAAACATAGCATTTTCATGCCGCAGATTCGTCAAAATTTAGTCCACCAAGCGCTGGGAAATAGTCGCTAAACTAGCATAAACAAGCAAAATATGCTCGCCACTTCGCTTCTTGCTGCCATTTTACATTCCTGAGTTGTTTTGAGTTGTTACTAGGTTACCAGGGCCTATACCGCTGTATTATTTTTAAATTTGCTCGTATATTCATAAAAACAAGCGCGGCAAATTTAATATATTGTTTTGTGTTGGCGAAGATTCGTTCTGAAATTTCAATAATAAAAGGGATTGCTGTTGCCAGTATTGGTATTTACGTTTATTTAGGTCTGATTATAGCTATACATAGTGTTTCGCATAGGAGCGATTGCAGAATACCCGTCTACTTTTGAAGACCTCACTTAGTGATCATGATAAGATGATACGAAGTGAAAATGATTACGTAATAATTGTATACTCACGCTATTATAAAGCGTGGGTAAGCTATATTTTGCGTTATTACGCGCGTGTTATGATAACAAGTGAAGTATTTAGAAGCGGACGGGTATATTCTGCAATCACTCTCCTTATAGAATCGAACCGCCATTTTGAATTTTTGAGATTTTGAGCCCACAGGTCAACCCGCTGGCTGACCTCGATTTCTGGCCATGTCATAATATTATCCGATGAACTCGAGTATCGAAAGATTAGGTCGCATGTGCAATTAGATTCATTTTTCCACGAGGTGCGATGCGGCGAATACTTATCATTGCAGTCATTAAACACCGTTTTCCACTGGGCGAAAATTCTACATTTTTACTCTTTGCTTCGCGAACAAATTCGCAGTTGTAAAACGGGCTTAAGTAATGTTCGCCGGCGCGATTAGCCAACACAAGAATTTTCCGCGCACATCACGTCTAAATAGCTGTTATCGTATAGTAAAAGACCTTTCTGGTACTGTAATTACGTCACAGCTACATTGTTGTCAACTTAGGACCGCCTTAAATGGAATGGATTTCAACTTTTTTTCTCACTGGCAGTGCGCAAAGAAGCAGAGCATCCTCCTTCAACACATGTATGAAAAATATTTTGATCAATAAATGTGAGTCTAAGCTTTAACACGATTGTGGGCCCTTTAGCCTCGTTTTTGTGTTAAAGCTTATTACTCGATTTATTGGTCAAAATAATAATTTTTATCATGCATGTGTTAAAGAATGTTCTGCTTCTTTGCACACAGCCAGTGAGTGGTCCTAAGTTGAAAACAATGTAGTTCTGACGTAATTACGGGAAAGGTCTATTGAATATGTCTATACCATTAACCAGAGGTATCTGCATCCGAAACGAGGCTTTTGGGCCATGTTTATCATTCTTGTTCTTTATTATGGAAATAAACACGATCCTGAAGCCTATAAATTGCACATCTATAAAAGCGGAACTTTTAAAACATGTTAATGTTAATGAAATGATTCCTAGTTACTCGTGCAAAAAATTTACTCCAACTTCTATGACCCAACAACATAATTTTTGTTGCAAGACCCTTAACAGAATAACAACTAAATGTCACTAAATCACGGACATGATAATACTAAAAAGAGAAGCTGCAAGATTTTCAATTTTGAAACGCAATGCAGTATAAGTTTGCAGTGTTCAGTGTTCACACACATTTGTACATTTGCAAGTGTCTACATCTTGAATTTCTCCGCTAGAGGCATTACAAACATAACATTTTCATCGTTCACTCTGTCATAACCAGGGACAAATTTACCTAGTATGCGCTGGACAGGCATAAATGATGCTGCACCCAAGGTATCAAATTGATTGGCACACCAAACCTCAGGAAATGGATCTTCAGGACCGCAGAGGAATCTGTCAGGATGACGATGATACCAGTCAACTCTTGCAAAGGAAAACACGTACCGCTTGCCGTCGACGGACACAGACTGCTTTACAAAATGCATGACGACACCAGGACGAATATCTGTCGACTGCATGTCAACCTCCCCATCAAATGGACCTGCCCATTTAGCGAGAACAAACGAACATCGGTTTAGTCTTGAAAACCGGGAGCCAAATCTTTCACCTGCGCATTCTAGTGATGCATACTGATCGTATAAACGTGGAATTGTTATATCTAAAGCATCTGGAAAGAACAATCGATACACTTCTGTGAGGTATCGCAAATCGTCGTCGTCCAAGCAACCAATAACATGAGGAGGTCCAAATGAAAAACAGTCAACAGAATACCAAAGTTCGTTTGCTATATCAATGTTGCCTTCGCTTAACTTTAAAAGACTCAATATCTTCTTGCAATCGATACTGGGTGCCTGGGTCTTAGTGCTTCCTCGGACTTTCGAAATCAGTGGCTGCAGTTGATCACTGTATTCGCGCGGGAATTCTAGGTCGTCCAAGTCCTGATCTCTTGTGAACTTGCGCATCATTTGCAACTCCACAGACTTGTTGTTTGTGTGGTATTTGCCCAAAATTCCGTTGTACCTTTCGAAGCTGAAAAGCCAGAAGCTGTACACAGGTCCATAGTCCAACACACAATCTGCCAAATGCATGTGGAGATGCATGTTTGGTGTCACACGATCCTTGCCATAAATTTTCTCAAATTCTTTACAAAACTGTATGAGATGATCATGTGCGATGCCTACATCTGGAATCTTTATCAATGTGGTGCAAAGGAGGTTGCATGCATTGACAAAATGCGCCCAACAACGATACTCTCTTTCGGGAAGATGCTGGAAAAGAGCGAATAACGAAAAAACAGTCACCCAGTTTTTCCACTGCTCAGCAGTAAACCCCGCAAACATCTTCGCAATCTTTGAAGGAATACGCCCAAGTTCAGAGGGTACATGGCAAGAATCTACTTTCTCTTGCACCTGTTGTAGATCATTCGAATAAACACCCATCGAATAAACACCCATCTTCGAACATACAAGGCAATATTAACACGTCCTATAATTTTTGCAATGGAGAGGGCCCTGAAGGGGTAAAATGGGAACTGGGATTGATGTATTTTTAGACTGGGAAAATGGGATTTGGGTTGCTGGGACTGGGATTTGGCCACTGGGAATGGGAAATGAAGTCCTCAAAAATGGGAATGGGATTGA